AAAAAAGGCTTACCAGCTGCACTTTTTGATGTCTTTTCTCTGGTCTTGACAGCAAACTCTCTCTCTTCCTTTAGTTTCTCATCGTCCTCCATAAGAACAAGAACAACCTTGGCCTTGTCTCTCACATTTACACCCTAGCACAAATATGGCTACAATAAGCGTTCACTTGGCTCTGACCATTTCAGAAAAATTATTTAAGCCTGAAATACTTGTCCTTGAAGAAAACCCCAATGCTTTTTGCAAAACAAGATCAGAACTATTCAACATCTAATTTAAAACAAACTATAGCACATGATTAACCCCCCCAATTTTATTCATGCTGTAGAGAAATTAAATGTGTTTGTTACTCTGAAAAGGTTTTCAGTTGGGAGTATCTTAAGCTGATTGAGGCAGGAAACCTAGACTACACTTTCATTCTTGCTGTAAACCTGGTCTGAAGGTTAATGACATAAATATTATAGTACCAGTAACTTAATGCATAGCATGAAATCCTTTAATGGAAGCTAAAAGACTACATCCATTTGACATAATCAGGAAGTGTGCATCACCTGATCTTTGCCATCCTTTTCTACAAAGCGGTACTCTGTGAGAGCTTTGACAATGTAGATGTTGTCCTTCATCTTCAGAAGCACGCGATCATCACCGGTCTTCAGCAGGTACTCCAGGAGTGTCAGGGACTAGGATAAAAAACACATGACAACACAAACTCATTTATATACAATAAAAATGCAGTTTCCTATCACTACAATGCTTCTTGTTTTATCTGCATTAGGGAATAAATAGGACAAGTAAAAAGGAACAAAAAAATATTGGTGCAACGGATGAAAGAAGAAAAACGACTGAAAAGACATAATTTCTCTGGAACTGATGAGCCAACACTGAGTCATGTGGCTGACTGGCAAAGCTGAAATGGAAGCAGTGATACGGCTGATGTTCAGAAAGTAATAACTGCCACTTAATAGACTAAACTGTGCTTTTAAAGAGAAACTAAATATATATTTGCTGTAAGGTTTTTTTTTTTTAAAAAAACCCCACTAAATATTAAAAAACTTTACAAAGTTAAATGTTTATTTTTAAAACCTTGCATATTCCTATATTGATACTGTACATGCTACTTAGATGAAGAATGACTTCCTTCTTCTCTGTTGGTCCCATCAGGGGGTCGTGACAGCAGATCAACTGCCTCCATCTCACCCTATTCTCCGCTTCCTCTTGTGTCACACCAACCCTCACACCAAGCTGATAGAGGGTTCCCTATGTGCTAGCTTACTGTTATGCTGTTCCACTGAATTCAACCTTCACTTACACAGTCTGTTTTATTAGATTATTTTTGCTTTTCATTTGATAATGGCTGCACAGGAAACAAGTAGAAACAGTGTTATGAAACTTAAGGGTAAGAGGCTTCGGGAATAGTCGGGGAGTTTAACCAATGCAACAATCCTTTTATTGTTAATCACAAAAATAAAACAAAAGCTGTGGTATATGAGGTTTTACATGCTGCCCTCACTCTAATTCAATCAACACTGTGATGGATTAAAACTCAAACTAGTTCTTTTGTGTTAATTTTATTGATTTATTGTTTCCTGTGACAGATGACTTCAGTCAGTCACTCATGTAGTTTGGAGCAAACTGCAACACACAAGCTGTACAGCCATGTTTTGAACAGGCACAATCACACAGACGTATTCAGTGACTGTATCGTGTAGCTGTATCAAAATAACATGATTTTGCATGTGGTGCATTAAAGGGACATCTGGAAACTGTAGCTGCAAAAAACCCCCAAAACAAATAAAAAATAACCCTCTCTTCAGATGGGCACTGCATTGTAGAGATAAGTAACAGAAGACAGAAACTGATTATATCTGAAGATGAATGTTTCCCACCTTTTTTGTGAATAAATGGACAATTCCACACTTAACATCTCATCCCCAAAGAATCCAATACATGTCTGAAATCAGCATCTATCCTCTAAAGCAAACCCTTCTTTGTTCCAGTGTCGCTCACCTTGTGGATATGTCTCCAGTTCTTGTCGTCTTTCAGCCGTTTCCAGAGCATTGTCATGATCTCATTACAGGCCACAACGTTGTACGTTAGGTCGGAAATGTCGGCCATCTGAGAGCTGGATGGGCCCCATGGGTCATTGGATGTCGCCTCTCTCACCTGCAACAGAAGCAAAGAGAGTAGAAAGAGGCCAAAACAGCTTCAGGAAAGTTGAAAGTTTGAGATGCTAACTTATAAAATGTTAACATCAGGGCTTTGGAGGACTGGCAGCAGCAGAGCATCTCGTTACATGAGCTATGCTACCAAAGATGTTTAGTAATCAGTTCTCAAGGACATTATTGATCATGTTTGAGATCAGCATCCAAAAAAGGAATTCATCTCTATATTTTCCCTGACTCTAAGAAATTCAGGTGGTTCAGGGCTTAAAATTGATGGTTTCTGCTTTGTTTTAATTAGTAGGGTTTTTACTTGATTAACCCTTTAGTCACTCTATCCTCTTAAAGTATAAGCAACCACACCAGACGACATGAATTTAAAGCTACTACTGTTCAAACATATGCCAGAAATGTATTATTTGTTGCGCATACAATTATGCACAGACTACATAATAAATATTTACCTTTATTGTCATCCTAAACTTAACCTACATAATTTTTAAAATATTACTTGCATTACTGGATGAGGTACTACTGAATTGAAAGGTTGAAAACATTATGGTTTTTAGGTTCTACACAATTTAAATCTAGCTTCTCCTACCTTGACCTCGGCCTCAGAGTAGTTCTGGACCAGGTTCTTCAGCTGTCGACGGAGCATAGAAGACGTCATGATGTCCGGAGGAGAGGTGGGGAATCAAACCACCGCGATCTGATTTAGAGAAAACACGAAAACAAAGCAAAAGAAAACACAAATAGCTCTAAAAATGTAACATTTTTGAAATTTTTTGGGATTTCTACATCAATTACCAAGGAAATTTACCCTAACTTTTATCTGAAGCTACATCCACATATACATTTTTTTGCTAATTGTGCATCATTTTTGTAGTTGACAGTTGGTCGATAATGGAGATGAAGCAGAGGTTTATCGTTTTGTGAAAATGCTATGTTTATTTTAGTCAGATTGCAACATAACTGGTGTTCTGATTGCCAAGACCCAGTAAAATTTTATGTTGGACCAGGAACTACCCAGCTGTTGGCCTATTCAGATCAGTTTTTCATCAAAGCCAGCAGATTGGCAGATGATAAACCCCATCTTTCAGCTTGTTGCACAATCAGTGAAGCAGCACAAGACTCTGACTTATAATAATGACTGAAAATCTTGTAGATCCACATGTCTAGGAGCATGTCTGTGATAAAAAACACTCACAAGATTTGGTGTAATTTGAAGTGCAGCGTCTCTGATGGGCTCACTTTATGAGCCGCAGAGAGTGAGCACTTGGACGGAGACTCAGGTGAACCCATGTGGAGTTTTTTTTTCTATAGTTTCAAACAGCAACACTTTGTTTCTGTAATCACAATCAAACCTTTACAATTAAAAAGCCCACGAGTCGTTTATCAAGCTATTTCTTCAGTAGCCCTTAACATGAAAAGGAGATCCTCCCATCAAACACCTGTTTGTTTTATACACCAACAGCTGTATAATCTATACAAATAAACTGCTGAGTTTGTCAGTTTTAAATTTGACCGTCCTGCTTCTTTCTTTATAGCAGAGATACCTGCAGCATTCCAGGGTGAGTCTAAAGGGAAGTCACAATACCTCTACGACATTTATTTTCTAAAGCTCAAGTTATTTAATACTTTCCTGTTTTATATCATTCATAAAAACAGACAATATACTAATAAATGATGCCATTTTATATATTATTATAAATCCAGGCCAGGCCTGCACAGCTTTTTGAAAACTTCACTCCGACTTGAACAATATTCCATCGTGGATATAAATTTGAGTGACCTCTAAGTTACATATGGGCAATGTGAAACAAATGCAAACAAACAGCAGGGTGCAAGATGCTAGCAGGCAGGGGACACATGGAACGCCATAACCAAGTAGCTGGCAAAGTATACAGAAACATCTGTGCTGAGTATGGCCTGAAAGTTCCGAGGTCAAAATGGGAGACGCCCCCTAGGATGGTCGAGAATGACTGAGCTAAGATCCTGTGGGACTTCCAGATACAGAAAGACAAACTAGAGATAACTAACCAACCAGACATAGTAGTGGTGGAGAAGCAGAGGAAGAGGCCGTAACAATAGTGAATGACAGCAAAATCAGGAAGAAGGAACACAAGCAGCTGGAGAAGTACCAAGGGCTCAGAGAAGAGCTCGAGACGTTGTCAATGGGTAAAGGTAACAGTGGTCCCAGCGGTGATCTGAGCACTTAGTGTAGTGACCCCCAAGCTAGGCGAGTGGCTCCAACAGACCCCAGGAACAATATCCAAGATCTCTGTCCAGAGGAGCGCAGTCCTAGGAACAGCAAAGATACTGCGCAGGACCCTCAAAATCCTACGCCTGTGGTAGAGGACTCGAGCTTGAATGATAGACCACCCGCAGGGCCGAGACGGGAATTAGCCACTGTTTCCCTAATGCTTTGCTGAGGCATGTTAATGCCAAGTTTTGCCTTGTGATTCAGTGACAACCATTTTTTATTTGTTGTTATTACTACAACATGCATCTGCACAAACTTTTTAAATTAATTATTTAGAAAATTCTGTTAAAGTGGATGCTCGATTAGCTCATAGGCTAAGCAAGTCAAGATATGCTGCAAGGCTAGATGCAGCAGCCCATGGTTGACTCCAACCTGAGGTTATTTGCTGTGTGTCCCATCCCCCACCTTCCATGTAATCTTCACTGTGCTATTAAATGAATTCAAAAAAGCCCCCAAACTAAAAACAACAAACAAAAAAAAACAACAACTAAAAAGCAGTCTGTTAACGCTGTTGTCAGATGATAGGAATCATTATAGTTGCTAGTGCAGAGGCAAAACTCTTACATAAAAATCTAAATGTCATGCATGGTGTAGATGCCACAAATGGAGAAAAACACTGTGAAAGACACAGTCAAAGAACTGCTCTTTCATTCAGCTATGAATACTGGTTTCCCTTTGAGCCGGAAACCCCCCCCAAAACCCTTCAGTCTGCAGCTGCATATAAAGTTGTTTGTTTTTTGTACTTCACTCTGGACCAATACAATTCTGACCTACTGGCCTGCTTTTTAATCTACAACTCAATTGATTTTGACGATGGCAATGCCACATATAACAGTAACCAATACACAAATCATATGCAATGCAACTATATGTTCTCGCGCATGAACAACACAGTGACATACCTTCAGTAAAATCTTCCTCTGTTGTAAAAGTCGAACTTTCGGTTGTATTTGCGCAGCTCCTGACTCAGTTAGCATTCATCCTGCTGATCCCCTCTTCCTCCTGCCTGCATTGGTTTGTCTGAGGATGTCAGAAACCAGATCCTAACGCTGCAATGAGAAACCAGTCAACATATAAAAGAGCTGACCAGTGGGAGGTACACATAACTGACTGCAAAGCGTAAACTAACCTACTGTAAGTGACAGCTTTGTCACTGCGACAAACATATATCCCCACCTACGTTAGCTCAGAATCTAGCTGAGCTACAAGCTAGTTAGCTACCAGGGCTTGTTAGATAAATTTTAAGAAAAGAAAAGATAAAATTGCATGTTTAGCGCAACTGGATACTTAGTCTTAGGATACGCAGTCGTGGTGTTTGTAAGAAGAGTCAG